AAGAAACCTACAGCAAAGCTAGGAGTTTTACCCCAGTATACTCAATTCCAGTACAATGTCTCGGATGAAAGCCTGTACCTCTTACTTGTTGGGCTGTCTTTCTTGTCTGGAGAGCTGTTTTCTTTTTTAGTTCCAGTGGTAGGTGATTATATTTTTCTGTAATTCCCTGTTTCTGATTTAATGTTACTTTGTATTATGTTTAATCTGTTGAGGGAGGCTCTTCCATCACAGGGATGCTGGATTGCTTAACAGAAGTGAGGCAGAGATAAAAGATGTACATATTTCTCTATGGAGGTAATTTGGACCTACATTATCAAATAATTGAGTGTAATCAAAATGCAATGCATTATTGATCACATTCTCAAGAACATGAAAGAATGTGAGGATGACAAATCCTGTTCAAAAGCTAATTGGACACTGAGTTTGTTTGCTTGAGAGACTGAACATTTATACTGGAAATGCACTGAGATCATATGAAGTATGGTAATTAGGGGAATCATAGATACATCCAAGAATGGAATCTGTGACATTGCAGAGCTCAAATAACAAGAAATACTGGATAGCCTTCATGAGTTAGGATGAAAAGAGAGTTAATAAGGAGAAGGGTCTAAGATTGGATTAAATTCGTATTAAAGTTCACTGCAATCTTTTCAGTGACTTTAGTGGGAATGGGGCCAGGATGGGAATGGGTTTCTTATGAGAGAGTGATGCTTTTCTAGTTTCCCACAGTTCACCTTCTCTGAACTGTGCGGGCCGGGAGCGACCCGAGCCCTTTTTCGTGCTGCACGCGGGCTGTCGCCAGCAGCCCGGGCACGCCGGGTTGGAAAGGGAAGGCCGTCGAGCTGGAATTAGGCACAAACGCGTAGCGGTAGTTTTAAAGATTGTTTACTTACACTGAGATGGCAGTGGTGCAGGCTGGAAAGCTTGCTTGAGTTGCGGTTACAGACGGGAAAGAAGAGAGGCGGACAAGAGTTCTAGACTCGTGAACTCTAGCCCAATCCAGCTGAAGGCTCTGAACACGTGAGCCCGTCGTGTCAGCCGAAGAAAGTACTTGTCCGGAAGAGCTCTGAATAAACTCACACGAAGTTTGCTAGGCTCCGTGGGTTCTTCTGCTCACTCATTCACACGAAGTTTGCTAGGCTTCGTGGGTCCAGTTCTTTTGCGCGCGGGAAGGGACACGTCTGGATTGCGCTCGGCGACGGGGAGAGGCTAGAGGTTGATTAGACCTCCGTTGCCTTCTTTAAATGCACTGGGTCCGTAAGGATCCGCAGCGCTTAGAGATCTTCACACAGCGTGAAGTCTCCTCCTCCCTTGTTCGTGGAGTCCTCCAACTTGGGCGGAAACCACTCAAGCCTCTTATACGGCTAGCAAGCCAATCACTAGCCGCCACACGTGAATAATTTAGAACTGGCCAATAATGGGACTCAAATTAGCATACAAATGGCGGGAACTCTTTGCAACGAGCATTTCTGTGCTGCAACAAAGAAATGCACCCTGCAAAGAAAGCTTCAAATTGGCGGGAAACTT